TCCCACCTTCAACCACCTTGAGTTCATGGTATATACTAGTTCACTGTATTCATGGCACTGCGGCCCAATGCTCGCTAAACCTTTCTAAAACCAAAGAGGTTACGCCCAGCGAGTATAACGTAGCAACTTTTCCTGTCAGATAGTGCTCAATGTATATGCCAGTGGCTGCTAATGTGAAATGAGAGACAGGAGGATTCAGCTTTTAATTTCTTACGGCTTGCGCTTCGTATCTGCTTCCCCCCTTTAACCACCTCGAATTCATTCATGGTATATACTAGTTCATTGTATTCATGACCCTGCGGCTCAACGCTCGCTAAACCTTTCTAAAACTAAGGAAGTTACACCCAGCAAGTATAATGTAGCAACCCTTTCTTGTCCGATAGTGCTCAATGTACATGCCAATGGCTGTTAATGGGGATTGCAGCGTGCGCGTTGACTAAAAGCCGAATGCTCTTGTCTCTCATTCTCCATTAGCAGCCATTGGCATGTACATTGAGCGCTATTTTTTATTGTTAAACAACGCACTGAAGAAATCTTTCACCGGCACCACCTTGGAGGTCAAATGTTATACCTATTTCGGGTATGTGCCACTGGTGGTTACGCACTACGAGGGACGCACAAGCCACGCCGGAGCTTCGCCCCTAAAATTGGGACGCGATCCTGTTCATGTTCTCCCGCGCGAGTGCGTGAAGAAGAGAGAAAAAGGAAAAGAAAACAGATGCAAATCTGCGGAAGCTGGGAAGTTTCGTGCTCGCGGAAACAGTACTGAAACACTGGCCTATATGTTTATGCTCGTGTTCTGCAAAACGAATTGAACTGATGATTTTAGAAAAGCATTGCAAAAAAAGAAACAAACGGAAGGCAGCGAGACAGAGAAAGATCGAAATTGAAAATCTGTTGATTGATGTTTGAATAGTGGTTGCGTAATTTGATGATGAAATTGAGCATCAAGTATACAGAAGTCAGGTGCAGAAGTCAGCAGGAGAGCGTGTGCCACCGACAATTACTCACTCTTTTGAATATTAGGTACAGTTCTCGTATTCCAGCATAGATTTTTAACAGTGAACCACGACTAAGACAACCAGTGTACTCCTGTGGAGATAATGTACCGGCTATAAAAATACCCATTTTCTAAAGAGCAACTGCATGCAGTAACAATAATGATTTTGAGGTTCGCTCTGCACCATTTCTTGACCCTATCTGCACGCGACCATTGGCAAAAAAGATGTGCAGAAGCAATATACATTTTGAGAGAGACCTACCTCTCCGCCGCTTATTTGTGTACGTCATACATGAGCTTGGTGCGCGTATCAGCAGTCATTTGAACAGCGGTGTGACGCTGAATAGAGGTAAGAGTAGCCACTCCCCATAAATAAGATCAGGTAAAGGCTGGACATGAGTAAAAAGCACTCTGTATCGCGAAATAATTGACATTAATTGTAATTGCGGAAATAAGCAATTGTCAGAATCCTAAAGAGGCGGTGCTGCTACAGCGCGCAGCTCGCGGCAGTGCGCGCGCATGAAATGCGTTAGAATTGACACGCTCAAATATTCATGCAACAATTACGTGCAAAAGCGCATTGTCTTCAAACAGCTGAGAATAAGCTGCTGTCACTGACACGTGTGTAGCTAGCAACACAAATAAGTGAAATTACATACAGCACACGCACATGCGAGAAACATACGTAGGTTTCAACAGCCGAACATAGCCTCGTCGCGCTGGTATGCGCAAATTTCGGTAAGCAGTACACCCACTGTTCACAGGAAAGCACTAAAACGATGCACGAACACACGTTATTCGTTCTTGCAGAACGGCGAACCAATAACCGAAGTCGGAGGTGAAAGAGCTCATCGTTGTTGTCTCGACTTCGCTCATCAAATGCATGCGCAAACAAATGCATATGGCAGAAAAAAATTTTAAACTTCCGCCAACGGGTTGCAAAAAGCCATGGCTTTGGTTGATATATACTCCGCGAAAAGACTCACTTTCACGCGGTGGTGCTATGGTGCAATAGGTAAGACGTTTGCTTCAAGTGCATGAGGTCTCGAGTTCGATACCAGTGTTGGGGTGGTCCGCAGATGCAAGTGCTTGTGATACGAATGCTTCTTAATTACCTATGGTCGCAATATACCGCATTGTAGGTGAGAAACCGCTCTCAAGTGCAATAAATAATGTTTTTTCGCATTGATGAACCATTGATGGCTTTCAATTGAAAGTCGTTGGCCAAATTTCAATGCTTGTCAACAATTGCCTTTGTGATATTTCAATAATCCACAACGAATTTTCCATGTCGTTTTCTCTCAGTGATAAATTTATATCGAGTTTATTGACGGCTTTCAATTGAAAGTCATGGACCAATTTTCAATAATGGTCAACAATTTCTTCAACGGTACTTCAATTGAATCGTAAAGTATTTTCGATCCCATCTGTTGTCATTGCTCAATAACTTCTTTTTGTTTTTTTCAATAAGAATGTTTTAAGGGCAACCCTGCGCTACGTTCGAATAAGTACCGCCATTAGGAGACAGTCGCCGCGGGGATGGGAAGCGTGACTGGTGCAGGAATGGTGAAAGTCCGTGCTGCTGAGCCATACAATCTTCCATTTTAGGTGGCCATTGGCCGAACCTGGATGGCGGTGAGTTTGCCAAAATCCGCGTAGTCCAAGTTGTCGATAAGAGCACTGTTGGTACGGATGCCCAGCTTCGCCACAGTGGAAGCAGGGAGAACGTCGATCTGGCGCACGCCATATGTTTAATAGCCGCTAGGCCATACGAGGTGCGTTGTATACGGGGCGGCTTGGGAGGTCTGCGGCGTGCCTGTTGCCAAGTTATGTGCAATTGCAGGTATAACCAGTTGCCGCAAAGCTTGAGCATGCGACATGCGGGGAAAGTAACTGCGTGGTTGATAATCTCGCATAAAAGGCGGTTCTCTTAAGGCACGCTGGACAACGAGGAGATCATGGGCTGTGAGTGCACGGAATGCTTCTGAGGTTCTTCGCGGATTACTGAGCCTATGAGCTGTCGGAATAAATAGTACTCTGTAGTAGAAGCACTGACGTGCCGTTCGTATAAGCTTAAAAGTAATTTCAATGAAGACGGCTTACGTGAGAAATTCTCACTCAGTCTTGGGTGGACTGGGCACAAGCTTGCAGAAAAACTGCTCTTTTATTCCGCGCATGAGGTACCACACCTTCTGTACTTCTGATATGCAGGGGTCAGATCAGTAGAAAAGACGCTTCATGTCCTCGACTTACATCGCAAACCATTAATTCCGAATTTGTATGAGGGACTGGTGATGGCGCTCAGCTCTCTCGCGATGGTTAGGGCTGGCATATATCACAAGAATACGGCCTTTTAAATCTTCCCATGATGTTAGAATACCTGCAAGGATCTCATAACATACGCGTGCGCCATCGAGAAGAATGAAATGGCGTGCCGCAGTTTGTCTGCGTCGTCTCACTGGCTGTGCACTGCAACAAACTCGTATAGTCAACGAGCCAATCTCCGACATCCTCGAGTGCAGTGCCACGAAAAAAATTTGGCGTTTGTAGTGTCAGTAACGTAAGCCTGAAGCTGCCTGAAGCCAGCTGCTTCCATTTTGGCACACAAACACCAAGCCGAAAGGCCACTACTCGGGCCCGTCGCGCTCACCATAACTGTTCCTCTTAAATCTGTTTTCATTATGGTGGCTTAGTGGGCGGCACGCATGGCATCACCGTCAGTATGACAAAACTGCCACCAGCGCTTGCATGGCCTCCGAGGAGATTGGCGGAGATGTCTTGCAGTCACCGCACCAACGGGCGCAACCCTTCTGTGCACCTATAGACCATAGGTAAATGAAATGAGATTGTTCCAAAATTGAATACGAGCGTTCTATTTTCAATAGGAAATTATTTCCCTAACCTAAGCCAGGTCCTGTGCCTGTGAGCCAAAGCTACTGGTATCTGAATTTGGCGAAAGATTGATAATTTAGTAACCAGAGAACTCATTGAAGTGCATCGTACAGAAGAACGCAACTATAATCGCTTCGGCGATACTCATTTGATTCGGGGCAACAAAGCAAATAAATTTTTATATTTCTTGTTCTCCTTTTTGTTTCGGCACTGCTTTTATGCAGTTATGATAGCCAGTGCATTCGCGCATGCCGGCGCTAGGGTGTCGATATGACAGAAAGCTTTTTCACAAGAAAGACAGTCGCGAGTTCCTGTTTGTGCTGTGCTGTGTGTTCTTCTCTGTCCCGTCCCGCGTTTGGGCTCTGAAGTCAGCTCTGATACATGAGGGGATCTAAATAACTTGGCTTAGGTGCTTATACACCAGCCTTGCAACTTAAAAAAGTACGATATTGCGGGACATCTTGTATATTGAAGATATATTGTACCTGGCCATCGCGAGCACTGCCTCTCTGAGGACTGCAGGGTATTTGTAAATAAAAAGAAAATAATAACATAGTGCCATGTGTTCTGATGCATGCCAATTGTGGTTTGTGCTTTTCATAGGTGACGCATATATTTTCTTAAACGAAAGTTCACGACAAAGGGGCCAGCACCCTACTTACCAAACGTAACGTACATGTTGATGACGTAGCATCTGTTAAGACCAGCCTTAAAGACACGGTCATCTTGGTTTCATAATGTAAAAAATAAAAAACAATCCCCCAGTGCACAATGATGGGTCATCATAATAAGACTAGAAAAATGTGAAATGTAGCTCGTGCCAGCTGTCCACAAAGTCTATGTAGACTAAGATACACTTGTTTTTTTTTCGTAAATCACTACATCATTCCTCAAGTGTCTAGAAGGAGGAGACTAATGACTTCTTCTAGAAGCAGCGCACAAAAATTTCCAATCTTTATGTAACAAAATGAGTAGCTGCCAAAGTTTTATTCATGCTGCGAAGTCAAATGTCTTCCATATAATAAGTATTCCCGAATATGATGCACAAAGATGCATCCCCAATAAATGTTGAAGTCTTGAGTAATTTCTACTGCTCATTATACTGCAGGATAATGGATGCTTTCTTCAATGCTGCCTTAAATACCCCCATTATACGTCATGTGGCCAATACAAAATGCTGGATGGTATGGCATGTGATTCTGGCAAGGTAGGTACTGCAATGTCTTGCACGTTGGCTTTTTAGTGTGTACATTTCCCTTCTTCAGAGAATGGCGTAAGCTAAAAGCAGGAAATCCTGCGCTTTTCAAACTGCTGCTTGCGATGAAGCTTGTCATAATGTGGTAACCACACTAAGATTGAAAAACTATACACCTATTCTGGGTCGTATATTCAACCTGGTATAAATAACACTGAGAAATTATAAGCGGCATCCGTAGCAGGGTTCTAAGATAGGAAAAAATGCAACCAACTCGCATATGCCGCACCTAAAAGCCCACCGTATGGTGTTTGAGCGGTCACCGTGCTCGGATGCGGTCATGCTAGCACCAGGTCGTTGTCAGCTGCATTTGTGGGCTTTTTGTGGAGAAGAAATGCTAGGGACCGTGTGCCACAAAAATATTGAAGTATTAATTAGCTTCCATGTGAACAGATTGCGCCACGCTACGCTCATCCAACCACTTTCACTGTCAGTTTCTGCGTCAATTAAGGCATCCCCAAGTTGCAATATGGCGTCCAGCTATTCCTATGTATAGACAGAACAGCAAAAGAGGTTCTACGTAGGCGCTTAAAATATCGCGGCTGATAATAAGCATAGAACTGGGGCACGGGGTGAGAGTGTTTTTTATGGATTGAATGATTCCAGTTTTTAAAGAGGCAGCTAGGCAGCGCTATTTTTTTTATACAGCGATAATTGTAGTCAGACTCATCAGCAGCCGATTTCGGGTTGTATTGTTAACCAGCGCCGCCACTGCATGCATGCGTAACCACCATAGAGCACAGTGACAAAGATTTGACAGGTCCCACACACTGAGGTAATACAATTCATGCGAAGCAGTCACCGAGTATCAGCCTATGCCAGATGTTTCGCTTTCAGCCAAGCGTTACAAGGTCTGTGGATTTTTTGCAAATTAAGTATTACGCAAGTAGTATTGAGTGGCTAGCATACTCAGTAAAAAGTGCGCATTTGCTTCTAGCTTCATCGATTTTCATGTTCGCTTATGGCCCCAAAGCGGGGCATGTAAGGTGATGCTATTGCTATTGTGCACCTATTAGATAAAAGCATAGCTAATGTAAAGCCATTGTTTATTTGTGTCGTTTGTAATACAGTTATGTCAATCATATAAAACTTTCACTCTTTCTTGTGCATTTTTCTTCTGTTAAGCGACTGTATCTCAACGTTTTCTTGCAGACTTGCCGGAGAGGAGTTTGTGCGAAGCACTAATTACGCAACAAAGCAATTGCTGTCAATATTTAAGAAAGTATTCATGCTATAAAAAGTAAATCAAGCTGCTTTAGAACGACCATTGGCTATACTTCATGTCTATCAAAGTCCGTAACAACTATAATGCGGCTCCAAATAAACCATCTTGCTAGGAAGCGCAGCCACTATTACAAACAACACACAACACAAGCGCTTGTGTTCTGTGTTCTTTGTAATAGTGACTGCGCTTCCTAGCAAGATGGATCCTTACCAACTGGCCCGATACCATTGTTTATTGAGTTCCAAATAAACACCTCACATATTGCAAGTTACGAATAGGTTGATTGTATATGAACATTTTTTCCCTCGAAAACTATCCCAGCTGCTTTTGGAACCACCCAAAAATATTTGGACCAAATCAAGCATTAAAGAGAAAAAGGAACCGGCAGATTTCACGTACCTTGGTAATCAACATTTTGTGAAGCATTGCAGGAAAAGTGACTATGGTGTGATTTTTTTTGCGTGACACGTTATGAAATCACGCTAAATATACGTACAACTGTTGCATTCACAGACGTATGTTGAACAGTTTCAAATGCTTGTATAACCAGCTGTTGCCCTTGCGCAAGGATGCCAACAGGAACATCATCATCATCTTCATCATCAGCCTGACTACGTCCACTGAAGGACAAAGGCCGCTCCCTTGTTCCGCCAGTTAACCCGGTCCTGTGCTTGCTGCTGCCAATTTATACCCGCAAACTTCTTAATCTCATCTGCCCACCTAACCTTCCGTCTCCCCCTAACCCACTTGCCTTCTCTGGGAATCCAGTTAGTTACTCCTATTGACCAGCGGTTATCCTGTCTACGCGCTACATGCCCGGCCCATGTCCATTTCTTCTTCTTGATTTCAGCTATGATATACTTAACCCCCGTTTGTTCCCTAATCCACTCTGCTCTCTTCTTGTCTCTTAGAGTTACACCTACCATTTTTCTTTCCATTGCTCGCTGCGTCGTCCGCAATTTAAGCTGAACCCTCTTTGTAAGTCTCGGGGTTTCTGCTCTGTAGCTAAGTACCGGCAAGATACAGCTGTTATATACCTTTCTCTTGAGGGGTAGTGGCAATCTACCTGTCATAATTTGGAGTGCTTGCCAAGTGTGCTCCATCCCATTCTTCTTCTTCTAGTTACTTGAATCTCGTGGTTCAGCTCCGCGGTTATTACCTGCCTTAAGTAGACATAGTCTTCTACAACTTGAAGTGCACTATTACCTATCTTGAAGCGCTGCTCTTTTCCGAGGTTAATGTACAATACTTTCGTTTTCTGCAGATTAATTTTAAGACCCACCTTTCTGCTCTCCTCGCCTAACTCCGTAATCATGAGTTGCAACTCGTCCCTTGAGTTACTCAGCAATTCAATGTCATCGGCGAACCACAGGTTGCTAAGGGACTCTCTATTAACTCTTATTCCTAACTGTTCCCCTTCTAGGCCCCTGAAAACCTCCTGTAAGTACATGGTAAATTGCACTGGGGAGATTGTACCCTCCTGCCTTACACCCTTCTTGATTGGTATTCTGTTGCTTTCTTTTTGAAGCACTATGGTAGCAGTTGATCTCCTGTAGATTTATTCCAGCATGTTTATATATACTTCATCGACGCCCTGATTCCGCAGTGTCTGCATGACGGCTGATATTTCTACTGAATGAAACGCTTTCTCGTAATTTATGAAGGCTATGTATAGTGGTTGGTTATATTGTCACGACGTCAAAACAGAGGTCTTGCCGCAGAAACTGAGACACCAGAAGCAGGTAGGTTCTTTTTATTAGAACGTGCAAGAGAGTTCTTCTTTTTCATCTATTTCATTGTACTTCATGGCACATGCACAACTGTCATTGTCTTTCTTTTTGACAAGCACGTGACATTTGCCTCCCTCCGAAATAGGCATCGTCCCGATGCGCAACTTAGGCGCTCTACCAGGCGTATGAAGTGGTCGCGTCAACTGGATAAATATTGTTTCATACGCATGGCGGGTACGACTTCGGGTAAATAATTTTAACGCTTAGAACTACAGTCAGTGTCGGGAACAACGTCTTAGTTCACATCGTTCAAGCGTCGCGTGACGCTGTATGGGCCAAAGTATCATCTTAGCAGTTTTTCTGACAGTCCACGTCGACGTATCGGAATCCAGACCCAGACCTAGTCGCCTGGTGTGTAGCTAATAAACTTGTGTCGGGGATCGTACCGTTGTGCACCTTGATGCTGTTGATGACAGGTGCGCACACGCGCGACCTGTCTCGCTTCTTCGGTGTGCTGAGTGAACTCTTCGGCGTCCACATGCATGTGGTCTCACTCATGCGGCAACATGGCGTCCAACGTTGTCGTGACTTCGCGACCATAGATCAGACTGAACGGCGTCATTCCAGTGGTTTCTTTCTGAGCGGTATTGTAGGCAAAGGTCACGTACGGCAATATCTGATCCCAGTTTTTATGTTCCGTGTCAACGTACATGCTGATCATGTCTGTGAGGGTCCTATTGAGGTGCTCCGTCAGCCCGTTTGTCTGCGGATGGTAAGCAGTTGTTCTCCGGTGAGCTGTACCGCTGAGTCTGGGAACCGACTCCAAAAGCTCTGAGGTGAAAGCAGGTCCTCTGTCTGTGATCACTGCTGTCGGAGCGCCATGCCGATGGACGATGTTTTCGATGAAGAACTGAGCGGCCTCTGCTGCTGTGCCGCGCTGCATAGCTTTAGTCTCCGCATAACAGGAAAGGTAATCGGTGGCCACGATTATCCATCTGTTCTTTGTTGTGGAAGTTGGAAAGGGGCCCAGGAAATCCATTCCAATCTGGGTGAACGGCTTCGCATGTGCTTCGACTGGATGTAAAAGACCGGCTGGCTTGCTAGGAGGTGCTTTGCGTCTTTGGCAGTCGGTGCAAGTTCGCACGTGGTGGTTAACATCAGCGGGTAACTTTGGCCAGTAGTACTTGCATCATAGTCGGCACAATGTTCGGGTGAAGCCTAGATGACCAGAAGTTGCTTCATCATGGCACCGCTTCTATAATTTCTTTTCGAAGAGAGGCAGGCACGACGAGCAAGTGTGGGTTGCCGGTTGGGGAGAAGTTTTTCTTATAGAGAACATCGTTTCGCAAGCAAAAAGACGGCAATCCTCTGGCAAATAACCGCGGCACGTCCTTACGTCGTCCTTTTAAATATTCAATGAGTGGTAAGAGCTCGGGGTCACTGGGCTGCTCCCGTGCAATAGTGTCCGTGTTGACAATTCCCAAGAATGGCGCGTCGATGTTTTCGTCATCACGAGCGACAGTCTCAACTAGCGACCGTGTGAGACAGTCGGCGTCGGTGTGCCCCAGATTTATAGACGATGGTCATGTCAAACTCTTGAAGTCTTAGGCTCCAGCGCGCCAAACGGCCAGATGGATCACTAAGGTTGGTGAGCCAGCACAAATAGTGATGGTCACTAACAACCTTGAAGGAGCGGTCGTACAAATATGGACGAAATTTGATGACCGCCCACACCACGGCGAGACACTCCTTCTCGGTAGTCCAGTAGTTCTCCGTGCGAGAGAGAGTTCTGCTGGCGTAGGCTATTACTCTTTCACAGCCGTCTTGCCACTGCACCAGAACGGCACCCAAACCTACATTGCTGGCGTCAGTGTGAAGTGCTGTAGGGGCTTCCTGGTCAAAGTGCGCGAGGACTGGAGGTGTTTGCAGGCGTTGTCGTAGTTCATTGAATGTGATTTGCGGTTGTTCACCCCAAAAGAAGGGGACGTCCTCACGTGTGAGTCGTGTCAATGGCGCCGCAATAGACGAAAAGTCCTCGATCAATCGCCGGTAGTAGGCACACAACCCTAAAAAGCAACTCACGGCCTTTTTGTCGCGTGGTACAGGAAATGGCGCTATGGCGTCTATCTTGGCCGGGTCAGGTCGAACACCCCCGTGACTGACGACGTGGCCTAGAAAGCTGAGTTCGTTAAAACCGAAATGACATTTTTTCAGTTTTAAATTAAGGCCGGCCAAACGTATGGCTTGCAGGATGGTGAATAAACGGCTGAGATGTTCCTCGAATGTTGCTGAGAATACAATAACATCGTCCAGATAGACCAAGCATGTTTTCCACTTGAGGCCTGATAGTACGGTGTCCATGAGACGCTGAAAAGTGGCTGGCGCCGAGCACAACCCAAAAGGAAGCACCTTAAATTCGTATAGGCCGTCGGGCGTCACGAAGGCTGTTTTTTCACGATCTCTCTCGTCGACTTTTATCTGCCAGTAGCCGCTTCGGAGGTCCATTGAAGAGAAATAGCGCACATGACGCAGCCGATCGAGTGAATCGTCTATGCGGGGCAGTGGATAGACGTCTTTCTCCGTGACTTGGTTCAACTTGCGATAATCAATACAGAAGCGCAAGCTGCCGTCTTTTTTCTTGACCAAAACCACGGGGGACGCCCAAGGACTTTTCGAAGGTTGTATGACGTCATCCGCGAGCATCTTGTGTACTTGCTTCTGAATCTCCTCGCACTCTTTCGGAGACACACGGTAGGGGTTTTGCCGAATCGGTCGCGTGTTGTCTTCAGTATTGATGCGGTGCTTGGTCAATGGTGTTTGCTGGAGCTTTGACGTATACGAAAAGCAGTCTTCAAATTGGTGTATAAGTTCAAACAGGTGCTTCCTATCAGAGGGTGGTAGCGTAGAGCAGATGTCCACCGACAGAATTGTCGAGGCGGGACAGCCGCGTCATCTGGTTGCAAGGTAAAACAATCCCCGGCTTGGTCTACATCGTCGTAGTAGGCAATTGCGGTACCCTTCTGGATTTGACGGTGCTCGTTGCTGAAGTTTGTGAGGAGCACTTCTGCCTGTCCACCAGTATGTGCCAGGACGCCCCTCGCGATGGAAATGCCTTGCGTGAACAAAAGAGTGACTATGTGCTCCACTATCACATCTTTTTAGCAAGGACACCCACTGGACATCGACACAAGGCAGCAGGATAGCTATGGGAGTGTCACATTGTCGGCTATTCGCAAACGGCCACGTGGTTCTTCACTGCTGTTGTCAGCTTGAGAATGTGCGCAAAAGGTCACTAAACGTTGGGGGATGTTGATAACAGCGCGATGACCTTGAAGAAAATCTACGCCCAAAATTAAATCTTTACAGCAGTCTGGCATTAGGACGAAAGTGGC